CAGTGTACGCGACGCTCGACAACAATAACTTACGTGTCTAAGGAGGATTATTGTTTACCTGAGAGCTGTTCTCATCTGCAAACGCTGAGATCTGGATTCGCTTGTAGTCTTCTCTTAATAAAGACGCAGCTCTAGTTGCTGGTGATTGTCCTGTCTCTACAGATTTGGTAAGTGAGTGACCAGTGCTCTTTGTTTATTCAGTTTGTTCGTATTGAACTAAGTTAACTATTGCACCGAGTGTAAACATGTTAGCACCACAACCAAACTTTAACCTTGTGTAGGATTTTCACCGCATTTTGTGACCGGAATAACACACGCGGCTTTCTGACGCTACCTGCCGTGTGCATCTAAGTTTCCCAGAGGGTTTTTTTCTCTCATTCGCCGTGCGGTATCAAACATTGCATGAAAAATACACGCTTACAGCAGTTCCTCGAATCAAATATCTTGTTTGTCGTGAGGGGCATGAATGAATTCCCTAAATGAAAGAGCCAAACTGCAGTTAAAGTCCACCATTTAATAATTTGGCAAATAATTCGACTACAGATGTCCATGTAGGTTTAACACCATCACTTTCCCCTGTGTGTGTGTGTGTGTGTGTGTGTGTGTTTGTGTATTTTGACTCTGAAACTCACGCGTGCCCAGATAGACACTCCCACACCCTCCCACTTTTCTTCCTCCGACACTCCCCCCTAAACAGAGCTGGACACGCCCACTTTTCTTACTTTTTCCAAAGTAGAGGTGTGAAAACACCCTGCTGAAACGAGGGGCTTTCATGGCCCTTTAATGGACAGGACAGTAGAGAGTATTGAAAGGAAAGTATGGGGAGGGAAAGGATCGACATAGGACCTCAAGGTGGGAATCGAACTCACCGTGAGCACCAGAGTGCATGTCGGCACACTAACCGCTACACCATTGGCGACAACGACTAACATTTCATTTAATATGAATGAGGCGTTATTTTGTTCAATAAACACATATTTCTAGTACAAAGATCCTAACTCTGATGAAGTTTAGCTGAAAATGCCGATCCCACATTATATTGAGTGACTTTAACTACTTTGCATACAAGTAAATAAATACATAAATGCAATTAATGTCTTCATATTGTGCAGGAAAACGCTTCTGGTGGCCTTGAGGTAGGATACGGGTTAGGTTGGAGTGGTATGGGTACGTTTAAAGTGGGCCATAGATGTAATTAATTGCAAATGTAATTACATTCAATATTTAAAATAGGCACCGCCCCGGCCGGGTCAGTTGGCATTACTGTGTGGAGTTTGCATGTTCTCCCCGTGTTGGTGTGGGTTTCCTCCGGGTGCTCCGGTTTCCCCCACAGCCCAAACACATGCGCTATAGGGGAATTGATGAACTAAATTGTCAGTAGTGTATGGGTGTTTCCCAGTGATGGGTTACAGCTGGGAGGGCATCGGCATGTGTAAAACATTTGCTGGATAAGTTGGCGGTTTATTCCGCTGTGGCAACCCCAGCCTAATAAAGGGACTAAGCCAAAATGAAAATGACTGAATGAATGAAAATCTTTACAGTCAGGTGAAATGTGTTTTTACCTAAAATAAGATGGATCTCTGAGCCGATTTAGTAAACGTTTCTAAAAAGTGAACACATTTATCTCCAGTATATTTACCTACAATATTTATTTTGATGGTCTTACCCTGAACACATAAACAGCAGAGGTGTGACTGACAGTTTGCATGTGTTGTCTATATATATATATATATATATATATATATATATATATATTTTGCTGCTGCTGAATATCAATGCCTCTTGAATTTTTCATGCTCTCAGCAGCCAGTAATTCACAAAACACACTGCAGTCTGCACTTCAGCTACTGTTGAAGTCAGAATTATTAGCCCTCCTGTATATTTTTGTCGTCAATTTCTGAAAAATTATTTGACACATTTCTAATCATAATAGTTTAATAACTCATCTCTAATAACTGATTTATTTTCTCTTTGCCATGATGACAGTAGATAATATTAGACTAGATATTCTTCAAGACACTAGTATTCAGCTTAAAGTGACATTTAAAGGCTTCACTAGGGTAATTAGGGTAAAGTTAGGGTAGGTCATTGTATAACAGTGGTTTGTTCTGGAGACAATCCAAAACTAATAATTCAGGGGGTTTAATAATTCTGACTTCAACTGTTTCATCAGAGATGCTGAAGTGCAGGGTTTCCTCTGTAGGGGGCAGCAGTGATGCTCTGAGGGACTGCATTAATATCAGCTGCAGTGCTTTAATGTGATGAATCGCCACAGTCACAGGGGTTTAAATGAGAGCTGAAGAAGAGAAATCACATTACTGCTGTAATTACCAGATCTCCACAGCCAGAGGAAGGATGATTTAATCTAAATCAAATCAGTGGGAGAGCGAGAGACTTCGTCTGTTATGATTGTGCACGGTGGTCATTTACACAGCAGTTTTAAAATTCTCTTTAAAGCAATAATAATAATAATTATTATAGTTTTTAAATCGTTATTTATTTATATATTATATATTATTATTATCATTATTCATTTGTATATTTATAGATTATATATGGTTTTTTTAATCTTATTATTTTATTATTTTACTTGATATATTTGAAGAAATATAATAATAATAATAATAATTATTATTATTATTATTAAACATTAAATTTTTTATTCATGCTATTATTTTATTTTACTTTATTTATTAAAATATATATCAATAATAATATTAATAATTATTATTATTATTATTTCTCCTGTTATTATTATTATTATTACTATTATTATTATTATTCTGCTTTACACATTTGAAGCAATATCAGAAAAATAATAACTCCTATTATTATTCCTATTATTATTATTTATTATTTTTTTTATTGTTATTAATATTATTATTAATATTATTCCTGTTATTATTATTTTGGTTTACCCATTTAAAGCAATGTTGTTGTTATTATTAATATTATTGCTGTTGTTATCATTATTACTTGCTTTAATTATTATTTTTATTCACGTTATTATTATTATCAACATTTTTTATATATTTAAAGAAATATAATAATAATAAATTTTATTATTATTACCCCTGCTATTATTATATAAATACTTAATTTATTTAAAGCAATTATTATTATTATTATTATTCCTGTTGTTATTATTATTTTTTGTTTTAATTATTATTTACTGTAATTCATGTTATTTTTTTCCTTCATATATTTAAAGAAATCTAATAAAAATAAAAATAATAATTATTATTATCATTATTATTACTTCTGTTATTATATTACTGTTATTATATTACTTAGTTTATTTAAAGCAATGTAATAATAATAATTATTAGTCCTGTTGTTATTATTATAACGTTTTACCTATTTGAAGCAATATAATAATATTATTATTCCTGTTAATATTATTATTATTATTATTATTATCATCATATTTAAAGCTATTAAGCTATTATATTTAAAGCTATTATCTATTTAAAGTAACATATTAATATTATTATTAATAAGAAAAAAGTTATTATTATTCATACTATTATTATTATTTTTTTAAGTCTCTGAAACTTATGGTTCACTCTCAGTATCTCCTATAAAACTCTGTCAATGTGCCTTTCATTACAGATTTAACAGCCAGCAAGATGTTTCTAAGAGCTGTGTCGTATGATTGCTGCATTCCTGTGTTATTTATACAGTGTGAGACTCATTAACAGTGTTTGTAATGAGCGGTGACTGATGAGGGTTTGGTGAAGCTCATGAATCCTCTCCTCACGAGGACAGTTATCAGTGTTTTACTGCACAGCGAACACTCATAAAACTCCACAGCAACACTGAGAAGAAAAGAAACGTCTGCTAGCAGAGCGTTGGGAAGTAAATGTGGAGTGACACTTTCATAAAATGAAAAATCTATTTATCAATTTAATAATTCAAACATGAAAATGTATATAAATTAAATCATCTTTTAAATGTGTAAATAAAACAATAAATTAAAGCTGTTTATTTAATTCTTATTAACACATCAATTAATCAAACGATAAAAATTACATTAATAAATCATTTTAAATTGGTTTGAAAAACTTTAAGAAGCTATTGAAATGTGCATTTATTTTTTTATTAACATGCTGTTTTATTGTTCGATTAATCAGTGTGTTAAAACATGAATGAAAGGGTTTTATATTATATTTAAAATACATTTTAAAATGTATTGTTTTAAATCTTTATTAAATTACATTTAAAAATACAAATTAATTATTTTCATTTAAATGTGATTTAAATGTGTATATTTATTATTACGCTTCAAATGTTTTAATGTTATTTTAAAATGTAAATAAAATATTTTATTCTTTATATTTAAAATAACAAAAATATTATTATTATTATTTTTATTTATTGTATTGTTTTAGTGATTTATGACAAGACATTTAAAAACACAAATTAAATTAACAAATATAAATACGTCATTTAAATTTGTCCATTTAAGGGTCATTTAATATTTATTTACTTTTTATTATTTGATTAATCAACATTTTAATACATTAATTACACAGTTTAAACAGTAAAATTGTGTATGTATTTAAACATTTAAAAATTATTTGAATTGCTTTATTAAATGACATTTAAAACACGAATTAAACACGTCTTTTTATTTCTCCACTCAAATGTGATTAATTTATATAAAAAAATCCTGCAAGTTTCAAAACTCGAAACTTTGTTGTTCCTCTAAAAACAGCAGGTTGTGGAATGTTTAACACTGTTATGTAATAGTACGGATAAGCCCCGCCTCCTCAGAAGATCGACACCCACTTCTACTTCACTGCCTGTTTAGGCTTGTTAATATGCAAAACTGTAAGCCAATCAGAGCAATAGGCTAGTAGGCCAAC